TTGGTATTCTCCCGGTGATTGATTTAGTATTCATCTTGTGATTGGTTCACTCCTCTATACGACGGTATAATCACCCTACTCACTCATTTATATTCTTGCAAACTAGTTGTAGCAAGCTCTTTAGTATAACTAGAAATGAGAGTTTGCTTTATAGTTTAAGTTCATCTAGTGGCGCTCTTTAGTGTAGCAAGTGTGAGAGCTCTTAGTGAGTAGTGACATAGCAAATTATGTGTTTAGTGATCATAGCAACTAGAATTGTTGGATAGGTGGCTTGCAACCCTTGTAGTGCTAGAGCAAGTTTGCATTTCACTATTTGTTATACTAATCAAATTGCTCTAATTGATTTGTAGATTTTTAAATAGGCTATTCACCCCCCTCTAGTCATATTAGGACCTTTCATTGTTTCGGTGGAACAAAAATGACGCTCGGACGCCTCCCCCAGAACCCTAGGTTTCTTTCCTTCGTTCCCCTTCTCTGTCGCTCAGCTCACGTCGACGGTGATCATGGTGGCCGTCCGGCGCCAGTGAGGAAGAGCGCCACCGGACCAAGTCCGGTCGGCTCCCCTCCACTTCGTCTTTCTCTTCCCCTTTCCCTCTTCTCTCTCAGCGAGCCGAGCGGCAGAGAGGCAGCAGCAGCCCCCCGTGGCGGTCGAAAGATGGCGGCACCACCGCAGGCCCCCTTGCCGGCGCGTGCGTTCACCCAAGGGTGAGCACGTCGCCATCGAGCGACCTTGCAGTGGTTCCCTGAGCGTGCCCATGCCGCGCGGCAGAACGCCGGTGAGCTGGTGGCTCGAGGGACCCAAGCGGAGGCGGGGTCTTCTTCCCGCACGATGGCGGTGGCGACGGCGGCGAGAGGACCTGGGTAGGTACCTCCCCTCTCCATCCTTTCTTCTACTCTCTCCCATAATGGGTCTGGTCTAGGGTTAGGGTTCGGTTATGGTTCGATTAGGGTTCGATCCTTTAGGGTGGGAGCGCACGTCGGCTAGAGGACCGGTGGCGGTGCCTATGGCATCCACCACGGGTCCTGCTTCTTCTTCCCGGATGGATCCGATGAGCTCCTTCCTTTCCTCTCAGGTTCTTCCCCTTCTTAGGGTTTCTCTTTACTATCGGCGGCCATCAGTCCTTAGATCCGACGGCTGTCACCTCGGTCTTGCGGCTTGGCGCCGCCGGCGGTAGTCGATAGATCATGCTGCCGCCGCTTTTTCACTCGAAATCGAAAATCCTCTCCTTCTAATTGCTTCTACCCCAACTAGATCTACACTAGAATCAGGCTTTGATACCATTGATAGGTAGTAGTACCTCTAAAATGTAGATCAGGGGATAATCTCGACTTAGACGGGAAACTTGGTGGTGTACCTTGCCCTAGGGCAGTTACGGTCATGGCGTCGTAGCGACGTGGCCGCCGGTGTCGTAGTAGCGTAGGTGCGACGGAGTCTAGAGGACGATGACTCGTCCAGCGGTGCTTCCCATCACTGCAGCGCGCCCGGGATCGGATGGGCCCTTCTAGGGTTTCTTTGGTGGGTTACTGGCGGCGTCGAACCTCGTGTCTAGCGCCCCGGCCCCCACCTCCTTCTTATAGAGCTGTGTGATAGGGGCCCGACGACCAGTGGTCGGTTGTGTGTCCCCGATCAGGACACGGGTAAGGGGTCCGATTCAGTCGTTGGACTGAGTCGAATGAGATCAATCCTAATAGACTTCCCTTGCGGCCGCACTGGGGGCCACGATGTCGTTGTTGCTCGTTGCGGCGGCGCTGCCTTCCCCTGCAGCCGCGCTCGGAGCCATGGCACCAGTGCTGCTCGCTGGTGCTCTTGGTGTTACCCACTTCATGGACTTCGCACAGCTCTAGGCATCCACCCTCGTCGCTGGTCCTTATAAATTGGTTGATAATTAATGGATGGGGATTTAGTGGGGAGTGTTTCAGTGTAGGGATTTAGTGCATGCAAGTGGGAAGAAGAAACGGCAAGCATGCTCATGCGGCGAAGGAGAAACCGCAACTGATTGCAGACGATTTTTTCCTGTGATCGATGATGACGTGGCTGCAGGAGAAGCTAGCAAAATCTTATAGTGGGGTTCTCCTATCTAGGCATAGAAGATATAAGTCAACTATGCTAAATGACAAGCAACTTTCAAAATGCAAAGTAAATATGAAGATACCAAAATAAATAATCACCTACCTCTATGCCTTAAAGCATCTCATGGAAGACCTGACGTTGCGCTTGATTAGTTACAAAGAAAGACCTTGTGGTAAACAATAAAAGTGTGTGTTTTGCTCATGGTTTTCTCGACAATACAAGAATCGATAATGCAATAGATGACTCACTGACGACGCCTATAGAAATGCAAAGATATGCCTTAACCGACCTGCACCAAACAATATACATGCTTAACCAAACATCTCGTTAAAACTTAAAGCTGCCCACACACTTATTTTGTTCTTGATTACAAGGACATTTTAGTAAAATGATACAAGTTTGCTATTCGCTCAAAGGTGACTTACTCTTGATGTTGCAAAAATCGACGATGTGACGCAACAAATGACAGACTGACAATAAGAGTAATGGTAGATGCAGAAAAAAAAAACTACAACCAACACAAGACCAGCGCCAAACAATAGTCGATATACATGCTTATAAACAAATAATAGGCCAGTGAATATAATGAGATGGATAATCTCGTTTTTGATCCAGGGCGACGTACACGTACACTCCAACCCATGATCCATGATCTGATCTGCCTGTCCTACGCTACGACGGCGAGGCACCAAAACGGCCGGATTGTGGATTTGTGGGTGCCTTGGTACCTCGAGCGAATAAACGCCAGCACTTCTTGGCCGCCGAGAAGACCTTGGATATGACGAGTTTTGACAAAGTTTTTGTTTAATACTCCGTACTGTACTAGCATCTTTGCTTGTGGCCTCGGCAAGCGTGCATAACTGCACTGCATCTTGGCAATGGCAAGTGCAGAGCTGAAATTGAGGGCCCTTGACGTGCTATCAGGACGACCACGTGTCCGTCCCACCCCATTACAGCGGGTACAGCCTCAGCCATCAGCGTCCTAATAAACGTCTAGCCTACGACGGAGTAGGGAGTACGTGCTACCAAAAGAAACTTGTGAGTGGTCTGGCCAAACTCGCTGGAAAACAAGTACTCCGTCGGTTGGTCAATTGGGCCGAAAACCACAAAGGGAATTGGGCAGGAAACCAGCCGGATCGATTAATCGTCTCCTGTGTTGTGTTCCGTTTGGCATACGGCCTAACTATGTTTATCTATCTATATCATATATCAATGCATCATGTCGCATTTTCAACGTCTGAGAGTATGCACTGTTACCAGCGCGGAAGTACCTTGCTTTGCAAGTCCATGGTCTTTGTTAAATTATTTTGAAAAAGGAAAAAATTACGTGACGGCGGGCATGGTGTGATGGAAACCATCCAAAGGTTTGAAGAAAATGGAAATATAAGGTCAAGTCTCTTTCTTTTATTTACTTTTAATAAAATAATTGACTTCTAGATCAAGTTAAACGTACGTACTTTAGGGTTTAGTCGTTTAGATGGACTCTCGGATCGGCCAATCAATTGACTGTAACAAGTCAACGATTGCTTTTGTTCTCACTAAAGTTATTGTTTGTTTTCTCATACAGAAATGCTATATAACACACATGTGTTTTAGCAAAAAAAAATACATGGATTTTAGTCCACCGGATCGTTGGCTCGATTTATCCACGTCCGTCGGATCTGCAGGGGCCACCGGGCGAGGACCTGCCTGCCTGAGGCCACCGGCCGCGCGCGGCGCCAGACGGCCGGCCGGGCAGGCGAGGCGATTACAGCATGCCAAAGCAGGATCTGCAGGGGCTGCGCGAGAATTGATTGCCCCAACGCGACTACTACTAATACAGAAATCTAATCCGCCCCGTCGTCCTTGCCATTGCCTGGCCGCCTGGGCTCTGGGCTGCAAGCTGCATCTGCATGCATGTACGCCTACGAGAGCTCGTAGCCCTGCGTCGATGCCACGGCGTGCCCTGCGGCCCATCAGCTAGCACACACCACCTATGCAAGGGAACCAACCCCTCAGTATTTTGTCCTTTCATAAAAAAAATATTTTTTTATGATATGTGATTTGTGATATGTAGATCTGTAATCTTGTGATTGTCTGAAAGTAGAAGAAGGTTAGGGGTAGAAGAAGGATGGAGGCTGTTGGATCTTAATTTTATGATAAAAAAAAATTCATGTGTTAGAATTGTATAAAACACATGGTTATGCAGTAGAGACTCTTTCTCATAATAGTGAAATTTGTGAACTCTGAGCCCCGCTCGCTCCCGCCGGTGGCCACCCCGGCCCCGGCGTCCACCTAGCCCAAACCCCCCGAGGCCGCTGCGGCTTCCGCCGGCTAGCTTCCCAGCCGGCGCCGCCTTGGTTCCGCCTTCCCCTTCGTCCCCCCTCCCTCCGGTCGCCATGAATTCCGACGGCTCTGATGACTCTTCCTCCAGCCTACCGCCCCTGGCCGCCGTTGCAGAGGCCGCCCTCGCCCAGGCGCAGGCTGCGGGATCGTCGCTATCCCCCTTCGCCGAACCTTGGGTGCCGTCCTCCCCCGTCGCTGCCGGGCCGTCCGCCTGGGGGGCGCAGGAGATGCTCTCCTTCACCGACTCGGAGGCCTCCTCCAACGAGTCGTCTGACGCCTCGTCCGTTGCCGCCAACGACAAGGGAAAGGCCGTCGTCGCGCAACTCCGGAGGTGGCTTCATGGCTGACGCCCGTCGCCACCCACCTCCGCACACCCGTCGCAACCGCTCACCTCCGCTGGACACAAGGCGGGACCTTCACCTGCCGCGCCACCACGTACCGCGCCACCACGTACCCCGGGAGGGCTCTCGTGTGGACTCTAAGGGCTTCACGCTCGTCGAGAGTCGCCATCGTTGGCGTCGCCGGGAGCGCCCTCGGGTGTCGTCCCGCCGTCCCGTTCCGCCTACCCTGGTGGGACTCTGCTTCAACTGCTTGGCGGGAGACCATGTCGCTGCCGCCTGCCGCTTTCCGTCGCGTTGTCTCCATTGCAGGTGCACGGGGCACCGGGATAGGGACTGCAAGCGCGGTCGCTCGCCCACGCGCTCCCACCGGAACAGAGGCGCACCACGACGACGGCTGCTGCGGGAGGACCAGCGCCGTCCACCTTCGCCATCCAGCACCGTCTCCGGCAGGTCGCGTTCCACGGGCCGGGACACCTCTGTCCCCCCCGGTCTGCAAGCCGCACTTCGGCTCTCCACGTCGCGAACCCCCGGACGCGGGGCAGGCGCGCCTGATGACGAACCGGCCGTCGCCGCCGCCATCGCCCCCCAGGCGGGCTTCGCCACCTTCGGGCCACCCCTCCACGCGCCCCGTCTCAGAGATCGTCGTCATCCCGCGGTCCGCGGCACTCAACGCGGTTGAGGAAGCGCTTTCTTCCCTCGCGCTGGTGGCCATGGTTGGTGGCACCCGTCCACCGGTGTCATCCGTGGACGTCCGCGCGCAGATGGAGTCATTCTACAACATCTCGGCGAACGCGTTCACCGTCAGCCGGTACTCGCCGGAGGATTTCCTGGCGTGCTTCAACAACCGGGGAGACCTGGAAGAGGTTGTCCAAGCACCGGTGCCGCTGGGGACACCCTTCTACCTCGTCTGGAAGCGATGGCGCCGCCAATCCATGGCGTCCGCTGGTGCCATGCGTTACAAGGTCCTTCTCGGACTGAAGGGAATGCCGGCGCACACCTGGAGCACGGACACGGCTGAGCGTATTTTGGGCAGCTCTTGCGCCCAGATCGTCGAGGCGCCGCAGACTGCCGCTCGCGATGATCGGCGCGAATTCTTCGTCGCAGCGTGGTGCATCCACCCCATGTTCATCCCACAGCAGAAGATCGTCGCCGTTTCGGAGCCTGACCTCCGCGCGCCCCAGGTCATTCAGTCAGAGCTGCCGACACTGCGCTACCTGGTCCGCATCAGGGTCGTCGAGGTACAAGATTGGAATGCGCCACCACCCTCTGACGACGATGAGTCACCGGGGGACTCTGATCGGCTCGACCAAGGCAATCGGGGCAACACCTGGCCTCGCCGGTTTCGGTACGGCAACGCCGACGGCGAACCCTCCGGTGAAGCTCCGGACCCACAGCTGGGACCTGGTTGAGGCCCAACCTTCCAGCAGGCGACACCTGCCGTCGTCGGATCCATCCTGTGCCCGATCTTCCCGGGTCCTGGTCCAACTGGGGGTGCCACACGCAAGCAAGGCCCACTGCTGAGGGAGGCGCAACGTCGACTGCATTCGTCACGCCGGGTGTCGCCTTCCCCCTCCCGGTCACCCGAGCCAGCTCTGGAATTCGAATTTCGAAACACGTCGCAGCCTGAGATTCCGCCAACGAGGACGGACCCGATGCTCTGTGTCGCTGACACGGCAGCAACGGCTGGCAACCCGCCAAATTGGGCGGCACCGGCGCCCCTGCTTTTGGCCTACGAGCCGGATTGGGCGTGGCAAAGCACACCACCGCAGTCGTCCAGCTGGTGGCTAACGAGCATGAGCTCATGCCATGGCCCGCGGTCACGCCCGCAATTGCCGGAGATCCGCCTCTGTCTTCGCTAACGGGCAATGCGGAGCAGCTGGCAAACTCTGCTGAGCCTGATGTGGTCAGCAACGTCGGGATGGAGAAGGCTCCAGAACTTGGGTCGGACCCTATTGGGCCTTCCACCGTCGACGCACGGCGGCCAGGGGCTGGTTGCTCGCGGCCAAAACTTTGCATCACCAGCACACTCAAATTGCTGAACATGTGGCGGCCGTCGTCGGCTGCTCCGCGTCCGTCGCCGGCGACACCCGACGCCGCCGTCGCCGGCGACACCCGACGCCGCCGTCGCCAGTCGTTTCCACGACACGTTCTAGGAACCACTGTCCTTTTCCAAGCGCGAGGCAATGCGGGAACTCTTCCCCAAGGCCAGCGGATGTCGTGGGCGGCAAACGAGCATGGCGCTCTGAGCACGACGCCCACAGTCGCGCAACAGGTTAATGATGAACACACAAAAACGTCTTGGTGTGGAACCCCCGCGGCCTCAACAGCCGCGCGAGGCGTAGCGTCGTCAGAGATGCTGTCGTCGAAGAGCAATGCTCAGTAGTATGCTTGCAAGAAACCAAGCTTGAGTCTGTGTCTCTATCCATGTCTATGGAATTAACAGGACCTGCTTTCGATTATTTGTGTTTGCCTTCGGTCAGGGCATCGGGTGGGGTGATCATTGCATGGCGTCGTGACTGCTGGGTCGCCTCACAGCCATGTCTCCGCAAATTCTCGGCCACCGTCAGGCTTCACCCAGTACAGGGCGACGACTCAGAGTCGTGGTGGCTAACTTCGGTCTATGGACCGACTACGTCGCACTCGAAGCTGCTTTTCCTGCAGGAGTTGCTTGATCTACAAAATACCTGCGCGGGCGCTTGGGTTGTTTGCGGAGACTTCAACCTCATCCTCCACGCCCGGGATAAGAACAACGGCAGGTTGCACCGTGGCATGATGCGCCGCTTCAGGAAAACCATTGACGACCTTGGCCTCGCCGAGCTACAGCTTCTGGGTCGCTTGTACACCTAGAGCAGCGAAGGGGACGCCAACACACGTTTCTTCCATCTACAAGCTTGTCACCGGCGACGCAAAAACCAGCTGCCGACCCTGTCGCACAATGGAGTCACGTTCAGCGCTGAGGAAGCCAAAGCGCACCTGGTGTTTTGGTACTACAACGAGATCCTCGGCAAAAGCTTCAGTCGCAGTCACCGAATTGATCTCGATCGTCTAAGCTTGCCATTGCTGGATCTCAATGATCAGATTGGTGCGTTCTCGGACGACGAAGTCTCCAGGATCGTTCGGGAAACGCCATCCGATCGTGCGCCGGGGCCTGACGGTTTAAACGGGTGCTTCTAAAAGGCCGCCTGGGAAGTGCTCAAAACGGACATTCTGGAGGTCTTCCATTCTTTGTGGCGCCTACACTCACGGAGCTTTCATCTCTTGAATGAAGCTAACATGGTTCTGCTAAGGAAGAACGAGGCTCCGTCAGGGCTACGTGATTACAGACCGATTAGCTTGATACACAGCATCGGGAAATTATTTTCCAAGGGCCTGGCTATGCGGCTGGCTCCAAGGATGAAGGATCTCGTCAGAGACAACCAAACGGCCTTCATCAAGGGGCGCAGGATCCACGAGAACTTCAAATCGGTGCAGTTGGCATGCCGCTGGCTGAACGCTAGGCGCTGCCCGTCCATGCTCCTTAAGGTTGATCTCTCAAAGGCCTTCGATTCTATCGCTTGGCCATTCCTGCTCGAGGTTCTCCAGCGTGTTGACTTCCCGCAACGGTGGCGTGACTGGATTTCGGTCATCCTGTCTACTGCAAGCACCAAGGTAGTCATCAATGGAAGGCCTGGAAGGCGCATTTGCCATGCTCGGGGCCTACGACAAGGAGACCCGCTGTCGCCGCACTGTTCGTCATCATAATGGAGGTCCTCAACGCGCTGATCACTGAAGCGGACGCGCAGCACATGCTCACTCCGCTGCCTGGTAATGCTATCAAATACCGGGCATCGATATATGCCGATGACCTCGTCATATTCCTCAGGCCACACCCGGAAGACTTCATCTGCATTCGACAACTCCTGTCCTGGAGCTGTTCGCGGGGGCCTCAGGCCTAAATACCAATGTGGACAAGTGCCTGATCACCCCCATCCGGTGCACTGACGAGGAGATCGCAGCGGTGCAGCTTGTGTTTCCCTGCCAGGTCGCGCCGTTCCCCTGCAGATACCTGGGCGCGCCTCTGTCCCTCCACACTAGGGCGTTCGGAGGAGCAGCGCCTAGTGGACGCCGTCGCTGATCGCATCCCAACTTGGAAAGCCGGTCTCCTCAACAACGCCGGCAGGTTAACGCTGACGAAGTCGACCCTGTCCGCCATTCCAGTCCATGTCTCCATCTGCTGTTGCCTCTCCGCCGCGCTTTACTCTGGACCGGCACTGATAAGACTACAGGCGGGAAATGCCGTGTGGCTTGGCGCATCGCTTGCTCTCCCAAGGACCTCGGTGGCCTCGGTGTGCCGGACTTGCGCGTCATGGGCTTCGCCCTAAAGACTACGCTAGGAGTGGCTCTCTCGAACGTGCCCTGACGCAGCATGGACACGTTTACCGTCGAAGCCGGAGCCCACCGTCGCTGCCATGTTCCGGGCGTCCGTCTACGTCCGGCTGGGTGATGGTGCCACTACACGCTTCTGGACGGACTCCTGGCTGCCGCAAGGGGCGATCTGCAACTTTGCCCCACATCTGTACCGGGCTATCAGCCGCCACCATCGATGAGCCACCGTGCAGGAATCCTTGCATAACCGTCGCTGGGTGAGGGACATCACGGGCGAGCCCACCACCCCGGTCCTCTGTGACTACATCCGAGTTTGGGAGGCGGTGGAAGACATCCAGTTGAACCAGCTTGAAGCAGACCGCTTTGTCTGGCGTTGGACGGCGAACAGAGAGTATTTGGCTTCCTCGGCATACCGCTCGTTCTTCATTGGCATGACATCGTTGAGGGGTGCCAAAGAGGTATGGGGAGCAGCCGTTCCACCCAAGGTCAAATTTTTCTTCTGGCTCGCGCTCCATGGCAGGCTGTGGACAGCAGAGCGAAGGCGCCGCCATGGCCTTCGGGATGAGGCAAACTACGCTCTGTGCGACCAGGCTGACGAGAGCTCAGACCATCTCCTCGCCTCTTGTGTCTTCAGCCGTGAGGTCTGGTTCCGGCTGTTGCGTCTCGCAGGGTTACAACACCTCGCACCGGGCTCCGATGCGGTCCTTGTGGACTGGTGGCTGCGAACCCGCCTGGAGGTGCTGAGCCAATTCAGACGGGGTTTTGACTCCGTGGTTCTGCTCGTCGCGTGGGAGGTCTGGAAGGAGCGCAATCGCAGGAATTTCCAGGGTGGTCGTCTTTCTCCGCCGCAGCTCCTCCAGCGAATCATCGACAAAGCCGCAGCATGGATTGGGGCGGGCTTCTAGGCAATGTCGCCGTTCTTAGCGCGTGGTGATAGCTAGGTCCCTTGTTTCCCCTCGTCGCAAAACCGGTGTCTGTATAATCGCCCTTACTACTCGCCCGGTTTAAGGCTAGCGCATTGGCACCTCGCCATCTTGCACTGCCTTCTCGTAAACTTCTAATTTCCACTTACTGAAACACGTGTTTAGCACGTTCTCGAAAAAAAATACCATAGTTATAAAGAGATTTTTTTATCGAGTACAATTTGGACACACACAACCCACAAACTCACACCACACGCACACACACGCCTACGCGTCCTTACACACGCATAGAGAGACTTGAATGAGAGTAAAATGCGTGTTGTTCTATGTAGTCCTAAAGAAACTATACCAACATCCTTTCTTTAGTTGTCTTTATGCTAAATTTCTTTGGCATGTTACACATATTGCATTTGATATGCATCTCCTATTGAAGTATTATGTAACTTCATGATTAATTCCAGAGTATAGATCATGCCAGTCTCAGATACTAGCATGTATAAACGAATCATGAGACCAACCCACATGCAAATCCTCGTATCTTATTTATTTGATAACACACTTGCTTTCCAAATCATGCATTTTAATAAACAAACCTGGACTCAATTCTCATTTACATTAATAACATATAATATGAGTATATCATACAATAATCAACCAGGTCATGTTTGTAATGCGAGAACTTTTGCATGTTCCTGTATTTTTCCTATAAAATTGAACTGACTATTGTGAAATTTCTGCATGATCCTTAAGTTCCAAGCATGCCCTTAATCCTGTTGTCATTCAATCTATCAAAACCCACTTAGGTCCTAAACACACTTCCAAGGACAACAATATTTTTTGATCTAGGAAAATAAAATTATATTCTAGAATATAAAAGTTTATAATATGCATCTCTATTATAGTACTAGAAAGAGAACATTTTGAAATATACCACCGAACATCACGTGGAAAAACAAAAACAATAAAAAGTAGAACAAAACATAAGTGTCGGTGTTTTGGAACCGGGGGTCCCTCAACCAACGAGTGAATTTGTGCTGCGTGCCCCTAATCCCGGATGGTGGCGCAAAGAGACACAAGGTTTATACTGGTTCAGGCAATCGAGGCCCTACGTCCAGTCCGAG